CATTAATCTTTTATAGTTACATATTTACTAGTTTACTAGTTCTTATATGGTATTTACTAGCTATTATAGGATAGTAAAAACCTTATATAAAGATAAGAAAAATGTTTTTTTTACTCTTATATTCCATGGTGGTATCTTTTCTTACCTAGCCCTATAGACTGGAAATTATGGAGATATATGGGAGTATATCATGTCGAAGTATTAAATATTTTAACGTATTTTAATTTGTCACACTATTTTTTCATGTTTTATACTCTTATATTATGCACTGTCCTTAAAATGTGTTAAACAAACAAAAAAGATCTTCCCAACTAGCAGTACCTGTGTATTTCCAGGGTTTAACGTCAATTTGTTCACACCAGTGTTCCCTCTAAGCTGAGTTAGTGTGAGCTAGCTCAGTATTTTAGCCTCCGGCTCACACATTGTTGTCTTCACAAAGGAAGGACAGCTCCAGAGCAAACTAATTTATGCAGTAGCTAAATCGCTCGCTCACAACTTTAATGCCAGTAGCTCAGAAAGTAGAATTTCTGCTCACAGGACTCCACAGCTCAGAGAAAGCATTGGTTCACACTTAGGCAGTTTACTGCAGCAGCCAGACAGGTATTCAAACTAGATTGTCTACACATGTTTGATCCTTATGTGTAACATGTATATATTGGGGGGGGGGTGTCAATACCTACCAAGTGCTGGGAAAGAAATGTGTCTGCAGGAAAAAACCACGGGGAGCTAAGGTTGGGCCGTGTGCAATGTTCCCTCTAAGCTGTGGAGTCTTGTGAGCAAAAATTCTACTTTGTGAGCTACTGGCATTAAAGTTGTGAGCTTTAATATGGCTACTGCAACTACCTTGCCCTACGGAGTGCTCACAATCCCTTTCATTTTGCGTTCTATTCTCCATTGCTTGCAGGTGTGTTGAAGGCTGAAAGTGGAACAAGACTGAACTATGAGCCAGGTGGAACTGCTTTGGGCTGCTGTATCCTTGATGCTTTTGGGTGCTCTGGTGAGCATGTGCATGAAATGTCAATGGAAAGGTAAGGATTAAACCCCCTCCCTCCCTGGTGGCCCTTGACCCTTCTTGTTCATTTTGGGATCTCGGGGACTGTGACCTAGGTCCATTCTGCTTCTGGAATTTGCCCTACATTTTATCAGCACTTGACCTGGTTCCCCCTTGCCCTGGAATATCTGTTTTCATTGCATTGCCTCGGTTCATTGGTATGCAGATTTTCCTGTCAGGCTTGCCTGGGGGGTCATTAGCTGCCTGAGCCAAGTAATTGATGGCAAGGTGATAAATAAAGGTAACGGTAAAGGTTCCCTTGCTCGAAAGCCAGTCGAGTCCGACTCTAGGGTTGCGGTGCTCATCTCCATTTCAAAGCTGAAGAGCCAGCGCTGTCCGAAGACGTGTCCGTGGTCATGTGGCCGGCATGACTAAACACCAAGGTGCACGGAACGCTGTTACCTTCCCACCGAAGTGGTACCTATTTATCTACTTGCAATTTCTTGCTTTCGAACTGCTAGGTTGGCAGGAGCTGGGGCCAGAGATGGGAGCTCACTCCGTCATGCGGCACACTCGGGTCTCGAACTGCTGAACTACCGCCCTTCCACAGCCTGCAGTTCAGCGTCTTAACCACTTGAGCCACCGCAGCTTACCTTCAGAGGGGGAAATAGGGGGGTGGGGAACTGAGGGAGATCAGTGAAGCCAGAGTCAAGTTCTGCTTATCTGAAGAGGAGGAAGGAAAAGGTGCTGCTCAAAACCACATTCAGATACCCTGGGGCAATGCCACTGTACTGGTTGCAAAGTCACACACACACCCCCAAACGGCCATAAATCTATGCAGAAGGTGCCATAAAGCCCGATGAACAAAGAAAGTGAAAGCGGCATGCAGTGTAGATGGAGATTAACCTCCCAGCGTGGCTGTGGAAAAACTGCAAGGAAACAGATGGGTGCAGAATCAGCCATGGCTAAGTGCCTGGCTGACAGAGCTGCCTGCAAAAAGAAGCGGTTGCTATCCCGTAAGCTAAATCTTTGTGAGCCCTAGACGTGGTCTAAGTGGAGCACATGTAGGGTAAGGATCTGAATTTGTCTGTTGGCTCAGACTCCAAGCCACAAGTGTTCAACCTCAGTTTGCCCATCTATAAAATGGGTACAGAAATAAAGACAATGACAGCCTCTCTCTGTCTCCACTAAACAGATCAGGGACCCCCAGCCTTCGTTCTTACGTCCTTATTCCAGTGAAGCTGATGGGGGCAGTAGATTCAGGACAGACAAAAGGAAATACTACTTCACACAGAGAGTGATTAAAATGTGAAATTTGCTGCCAGAGGACGTACTGATGGCCACAGAAATAGCTTTAAAAGGGGATTAGACAGATGCGTGGAGGATAAGTCTATCAATGGCTACTAGGCATGATGACTGAGGGGAACCTCCACATTCAGAGTCACTAAGCTTCTGAATCCCAGAGCCAGGAGGCAACATCGGGGGAAGGCCTCAGCCTGTATGCCCTGTTGTTGGCCGTCCAAACAAACTGGTTGGCCACTGTGTGAGGCGAGATGCTGGACTAGAGGAACCACTACTCTGATCCAGCAGGGCTCTTTTTTTTTCTTTTTAAAATATTTTACTTATGAATTTTCCAATAACTATAGTAGCACAACTAAATACAGTGTAACAATATAACTTACAGGCAACTATTTACGAAGTCGCATCTGCAATTAAATGCAGGGATGAATCTGACCGCAGGGCTCTTCGGATGTTCTTATTCCAACTTTTTTCTTTTATAAGAGCTACTACTGAGTAATAAAAAGTCCCGCGCTTACCCTTCCTCACCTGCAGGCATGTTAACGAGTTTTGTTCCCTGTGAGAAACAGTACGTGGTGTAGGAAAAGCACCAGGAATAAAGCTCTCTGCTAAGCAGCACCAAGAGGGGGGGGGGACCCAACCCGAGAAAGTAAAATATTTTTTAAAAAATAAGCCTAGAGCCGATCTTTTTGCAGTCATTTCCTGGGTGTCCTAAGCAATGCTCCCTCTAAGCTATGGAGCCCTTTGAGCAAAAATTCTACTTTGTGAGCTACTGGCATTAAAGCTGTGAGCAGGTGGTTTGGCTACTGCATAAATGAGTTTGCTCTGGAGCCCTCCTTCCTGAGCGAGGGCAAAAACGTGTGAGCCGGAGGCTAAAAAACTGTGAGCTAGCTCACGCTAACTCAGCTTAGAGGGAACACTGCCCCTAAGGCAGTGGTGGCGAACCTATGGCACGGGTGCCAGAGGTGGCACTCAGAGCCCTCTCTGTTGGCACGTGTGCCATCGCCCCAGCCAGGCCCAGACCATCATTAAAGTGTCGAATTCTCTGCCAAATCATTTTAAGTAAATGAAAGCATTTGGGATTGCTTTCCTTACTTTGTTTGGATCATCTTAAGTTAATGTATGAGTTGTTTTTTCTAAAGTAAAACCTCAGTATTCAGGTTAAATTGCCGTGTTGGCACTTTGCGATAAATAAGTGGGTTTTGGGTCGCAGTTTGGGCACTCGGTCTCTAAAAGGTTCGCCATCACTGCCCTAAGGCAAGCAGAAGGTACTCTGCAGCGGCTTGCCAAGCATAGGCCTATTGGAGACTTATGGAATAGATGTACCTGGTTGTGGAGATCTTGGGATGAATCCGCTTTCCTTTGCATCCTCCTTTCTGGCTTCCGTGTTTTTGCTGTTCTCAGTCACGTTTCATTTTCTGTGGGTTTTGGGCATTGCTCAAAAATCCTTCTTTTTTCTTCCCTTTCCCCGTAGGGAGTACACAGGAGAAAAAGGGACTGAACAGTCAGAGGAATCAGTAAGTAAACGGATCACTGTCTCTACTGACTTCCAAGCTGCTTTGCTGCCCTTCTTTCTGTAGAAGGAATAAGTGCTCAATGCCAGTGGGGTGAATGGTTAGTCTCGGACCAGGGCTTGGGAGGGCCAGCCCCAGATCCCTGCCGTGTCCCACAGTCACCTGGTGAGGATCCATGGCACCGACACCAAGGAATAAACCGGGAAAGTCACTAACCCTTGCAAAAGGAATCTTATATTATGTATCTCTGAATGTAACACACTGCAAACTGTACCATACAAATATACAAAGACAACGTTCCGTGCGCCTTGGCGTTTAGTCATGCCTGCCACATGACCACGGAAACGTCTTTGGACAGCACTGGCTCTTCGGCTTGGAAACGGAGATGAGCACCGCAACCCTAGAGTCTGATTCGACTGGCTTTCGAGCAAGGGAACCTTTACCTTTACCTTACAAATACAAAATAGTGCAAATAGTTCAAATTAACGAAGAGTCCGGCTTCAACTTCGTTTCGCAAGTAGACTTCATCAGAAGTAATATTTAGCTGTGAACAATAATGTAAGTTATACAATCTGTATAAAAATGTGTGTGCAAATCATAAATTATATACACTTTATAGTCTCAGGACTGGACAAGTAAAATTATTATTTTTTTACTACCATGCGTTGTATGATAATTTTCTGTGGTTGCACTGATCCTTCCTAGGTTGCTATATGTTTTTAAACTGGGATTAGCCTTTGTATTCTATAAAAGAAAATACAATAATATAACATTAGCATGACATCTCATTGACCAAACCCAAATAAGAAGGTGACAAGCCTAAAGATTATAGTGACAACTTACCCACAAAGTTTAAGAGTTCTTATGACGGGCATGACTAAGTAACAACAAACTTCAGCGTCAGAATGCCTCTATGCTAAGCATTACACTACTGCCCCTTATACAACGTGTTGATGTCATTGCGAGACCAGGTCCCTCCCACTATACCAGGTAAGTGACTTGGCAACCCTAAATCGGTGGGGGCAGGCAAAACAGGGTCTGTAAGTCAGAGCAGGCCTGTTCTGTCACAGTGACAAATACAGAAATCTCACTGGCTGATACAGCTTGACCGTTTTCACGGGCAGTGTCGTCACCTAGAACTTTCACAAGATTCTCTCTCTTCCCCCCCCCCCCCCCAATCTCCTTCCAGTTGGGAAGACCGGCAGATATTTGAAACGGTACGCTCCTACTCAAGTGAGTGTCGTAGAATGAGCAGTTGCTTAACATAGGTGTGATACAAGGGCCATTCTGCCACACAATTCACCACAGTCTTTGCACCTCATGTGTGGTAAAATCCTTCATAGCACTTGGGGACGGAAGGTACAAAAGGCAGAGGTGTTCTGGCATTAGAATATGAATCTCGGGGTGGCTTGACCCAAAAAGATGACTTAAACCAGGGATTCCCCAGCTTTTCTGAACGTGCCAAAATGGACGCCACAAAATGGCTCCTGCAAGGAGGCGGAGCCAGCCACAAGAATGATTGCCTCACAAGAATTCTGACTCAGTGTGGTGGGCGCAGTGCCAAAATGGACGCCACAAAATGGCTCCTGCAAGGAGGTGGAGCTGGCCACAAGAATTATTGCCTCACAAGAATTCTGACTCAGTGTGGTAGGCGCAGTGCCAAAATGGACGCCACAAAATGGCTCCTGCAAGGAGGCGGAGCCGGCCGCAAAAATGATTGCCACAGCTTAACTTCAGTCACACGGTGAAGATCCTTGTGCTGTGGTGGCAGCTGCCGCCAAAGCAACGTTTAAAAAAATCTGCACAGCCAATCAAATCTCCCAACAATCCGTCAGAAGACTTTCTGGCCAAAAGCCCTATCTGCCCTGCCCACTTTCTAAAAACACTTTGCAGGTACCAGAAATGGTATCAGCAGGCTCCTGCAGGTAACCACATTGGGCACTCTTAACTTAAACAAAGAGGGAGAATGTAGATTCTGCTTACTGAAAGAGAAACAGACACATACCTTGACAACATTTCACGGGCGGAAACTGGGCTACTCCTGTAACACCTCAGTTCTCTTGCCGACGGCCTGTGCTCACCTATGAGGAAAGGCCAAAGAGTCTGAGACTCTTCAGCTGGAAGAAAGGATGACCAAGGGTAGAACGTAGCTGAGGATTATAAGGTTGTGCACAGGGTGGAGAAAGTGAACAGAGAACTTTCTTCCGCTCTCTCAGAATGCTAGAACTTGGGGGCACCCAGTGAAGTCAGTGGGCAATAGATTTGGGACAGACCAAAGGAAGCACTTTTGGGTAATGAAACGGGCAGGCACTGCCAGTGGAAGTGGTGAAAGCCACAAACATTTAGATAGAGATCATAGAGGAGAGGTCCATCAGTGCTTTCTAGCCATGGTTAATAACTGGAACCTCCATGTTTAGAGGCAGTATGCCTCAGAAAGCCAGTGCTTAGGAGGCAACAACAGGGAAGGCCTTTGCCTTTCCCCCTGTTTGTTAGCCCGGGCAGCTGGTTGGCCACTGTATGAAACAGGATGCTGAACTAGACGGATGACTGGCCTGATCCAGCCGGGGTGGCCTTGGGTTCTTAACCACCATCACAGTTCACTGCTGAAGACTCTGCCCTTCTCTCTTATCCTATATATTGTATTCCTTTATTCTGAAACAGTCTCTTTTTCTCCCTGCTAATTAAAAAGCCAGGGAGGGCTGTGTACTTTGGGGTTAAAGATGTGCTAGAAATACAGAATTGTCTTATGAGTAGTTCGTTCAAAACAGAGTTGGCTAACAGCAGGATTTGAAACCACACGCTTTGCCCTGCTGGGTTGCCTTGGTGTCCGTGTGTGTTTGACATGGATGGGTGCTAGAGAAAATGACACACGCACCCCATACACAGAAATGCAGCTTCAAGAAGCTGAGGGAACAGGTTAGGTTTATCTTTGATAGAATCATTTTTTATTAAATAATAATTTCTTTTATACATTTGGACTGAATAATGAAGTTTCTTCTCTTTTCCACCACCACCTCCTCTATTTTTCTTTGAATAATTTTAGGAAACAACATCTGGTTAAATTATATGTGTACTAAAACTCTGTAACAGGTCTTTGAATGTGTGTCTAGAATATATAGATAATAGTGACCATTGAGGAAGGCCCTTAGGGGCCGAAACGCGTTTGGTCTTCAGTTGTAAATTATTTACCCATCGTATGTATAGAGGATAAGCTTTTATAGTCTGATCTTAGACAAAGTAATTTTTAATCAGGAAAGTTTTAACATGTGTACACCTTAATAAATATTTGTACTTTTATATATAAGGTTTAGCTTAGCCCTTTTTGGTTCGTAGTCATATCCTGGGTTGAGTCCCCCCCCCTTTTTTTCCAGTTTTTACGTTTAACTAGACATCCTACCAAAGGCAAAAACAGAGACAGCAATGCATGAACGCATCGATTGTTGGGGATGGCACTCCTGGGAAACATGCAATGGTTCAGTCACGTTTATACCTCAGAATTATTCCTTGGTAATTTTGGTTCCCCATTTTCCCCCTATAGTATCGAGACAAGAACAGCTGAAGATGCCATGCAACACCCCAAAGAAAAGGTAGACAATGGCATATGGTGGGTTGGCTGAGAACCAGTGTAGTATAGTGGTTGCACTAGGATCTGGGTTCAAATCCCTGCTCTGTTGTGAAGCTTGCTGGGGTGGGCCTTGGGCCAACTCATTCTTCCTTACCTCACTGAGTTGTTGTGAGAATAAAATGAGGAAGGGAGGACCATCCATGGCCCCTTAGTCATCTTAGAGATTGGGCGGGTTGCGCTAAATGGGCTGTGGTTAGGGTGGTTTCTGGTAGTACTGATAAAAAAATTGAAATATATTTTCTCTTCCCCCATTTCATTTTAGCAAAAGCAGCAAACATCGTTCCATTCCAAGTCGTCATGCTGGTATTTTTTAAAAAAATTAAAATAATAACTGCACAATTGAACTGAAGTTGAGTCATGTGGGTTGTTGTCAGGTTTCTCTCACTAGCACCAATGGGATTGAAAAGGGGGTTTTGCTTGGATCATGCACACAATAATCACCATTCTTCTCCCCCCCCCCATTAACTTTTTTATTTTTAAAGACAAAACTAACATAAAAGAGGGGAAATTATTCTTACAATTCCTTGTTTAACAAACTCATGGCTAATTTATTGTACGTTTATATATTTCACCTTGTATCATGTATATCTCTTGCACATATATCAAAATTGTACTTTGTATATCCTTAAAGTTTTAATTGTCTGTATGGTTTATTTATTATAGTCTTCAAACCACTTATAAAATCTTGACCATGTATTATCAAATGTAGATTCTGGTTGCCCTTTCAAAGTTAAAGTTATGTCAAACAGGAGATTAAAATTTCTCCTTTCACAGATGGTAAATTGAGGCCAGATGCAGTCTTGATTGGTTGACATTATTTATCATCTGCCTTTCTCACTTGGACTCAAGGCGGATTACACAGAGGGAGTCAATATAACTGACAGGATAGGACAGTCAATAAACAATACAATAGGATTCCGGTTGCAGAACCAACCAGAAATCTAAACACAGAACTGAAACAAAGCATGTTTAGTACCATGACCAATGCTTCCTCTAAGCTGTGGAGTCTGGTGAGCAAAAATTCTACTTATGAGCTGCCGGCATTAAACTTCTGAGCGAGCGATTTGGCTGCTGCATGAATTAGATTGCTCTGGAGCCCTCCTTCCTGAGCGGAGACAAAAATGTGTGAGCCGGAGGCTGAAAAGCTGTGAGCTAGCTCACACTAACTCAGCTTAGAGGGAACAGTGACCATGACACATAATATGATACAAACATTAATCCTAGTTTGAGCAAGCTAAACACAGTCGTATAGGCCACAGTCCCTAATAAAGTTTCCAGTACAGTGCAACTCTCGTCAGTTTGGTGTAGTGGTTAAGAGCACGGACTCTAATCTGGGAGAACCTGGTTTGATTCCCCACTCCTCCACATGAAGCTGCTGGTGTGACCTTGGGTCAGTCACAAGCTCTGTCAGAGCTGTTCTCTCACAAGTCGTTTTCAGTCAGAGCTCTCTCAGCCCCACCTGCCTCACAGAGGGTGTCTGTCGTGGGGAGAGGAAGGGAAGAAGATTGTAAGCGGCTCTGAGATCCCAAGTGAAGGGCAGAGTATAAATCCAATCTCCTCTTCCTTAGAAAAGCCCTCTTGAATTTTCTGCAGAGTTTGGAGAGAACCAGGAGAGCGGGAGCCGAGCCGGCCTACTAGGGAGGGGATTGGAATGGCTTGGCATGCAAAACCAGTCCCTGTCCTTGGTCCTGCCAAAAACCATCCAGTGTTAAATGACCATTGGCTTCCAAGTTGATCGGTCCAGTCTCCAGAAGCTTGGCTCCACGGTCAGGAAGAGGCCATTTCCAGACTTGCTCTGATACGGCAAACGGCATAGAACGGAGCAGATTCTTGCTGCCGCCGCCAAAGAAATGCCGCTTGAGAGTCAGGGGCCCTTGGCCACCGTGTGGGATGCAGCACGCAGAGACGTTACAAGCTGGTCGGTGCAGCGGAAAGAGGTTTCTGCCAATTGCCCCTTCTCTGTCACACTCTCGCTCATTCCTCAGGATCCTCAGATTCCTCGAATGGATTTTTCAGGGGCTGCAGCCAGAAGGGGAAGACGGGGAAGGAGCTTTCTAGGAACTCCTGGCTCTTCAGATCCCAGCCGTCCTCCACCTGAGCCCTTCAGAAGTGTGAGAGGCAACCCCACAGGAAAAAAGGCCGAAATGCTAGGAATGAGTCATGAGCCATGCTCCCTCTAAGCTGCGGACTCCTGTGAGCAGAAATCCTACGTTGTGAGCGACTGGCATTAATGTTGTGAGCAAGCAATTTGGCTGCTGCATAAATTAGTTTGCTCTGGAGCCATTCTTCCTGAGCTGAGACAAAAAGATGTGAGCCAGAGGCTAAAAAAACTGTAGCTAGCTCACACTAACTCAGCTTAGAGGGAACACTGGTCATGAGCCTGCCCTAGAGAGCCAAAGTAGCGTAGGCTGTTGATGTCTCCATCCCACGTGGCTCTTCTCAAGGTATAAAACCTACTCAGAGTCTCCGAGCGGCTTCCAATCTCCGTCCCTTCCTCTCCCAACAACAGACACCCTGTGAGGTAGGTGGGGCTGAGAGAGCTCTGAGAGAACGGCCCTTGAGAGAACAGCTCTGAGAGAACTGTGGCTTGCCCAAGGTCACACCAGCAGCTGCATGTTTCCGGTTCTCCGGATTAGCGTCCGCCGCTCTTTAACCGCTACGCCAAGCTGGCTCCCTAGTTCAGAGGGGGTTTGCCATCGCCTGCCTCTGTGTAGCAACCCTGGGCTTCCTTACGGGCTCCCCTCCAAGTACTAACTGGGGCCAGCCCTGCTTAGCTTCCAAGATCTGACGAGATCAGGCTAGCCTGGGTTCCTCCAGTCAAGAAGGGGGAGATTACTGATGGGAGAGCAGGTTACAGATCTTGAGAAAGAGGATTTGTTGTGCAAACCGCTTGGTAGCTTGAAAGGTTCCTCCACCTGCTGACTTTCTGTTGACTTTGCTTTCAGAGCCAGTTTGGTGTCGTGGTTAAGTGTGCGGACTCTAATCTGGGAGAACCGGGTTTGATTCCCCACTCCTCCACTTGCACCTGCTGATGTGACCTTGGGTCAGTCACAAGCTCTGGCACAGCTGTCCTTGAAAAAGAGCAGTTTGTGTCAGAGCTCTCTCAGCCCCACCCACCTCACAGGGTGTCTGTTGTGGGGAGGGGAAGGGAAAGGAGTTTGTAAGCCACTCTGAGACTCCAAGTGAAGGGCGGGGTATAAATCCAATCTCTTCTTCTTCTTCTTCAGATGACCGCGCACAGTCTAGGTATCAGAATGCTGGGAAAGGTATGTGCATAATTTTTAACGTGTCTCAGGTGAAAAGAAGAAAGCGGGAGCTGAAATTCATTCTTGGCTGTTGGTGTCCTCAGAACTGGCAGGCGAAGGGTTGGAGGACAGGAGAAAAGTGCGTTGGTTGGGATTCCCTCCTTTGCTCACCTGTTAATGGTGCAGGAACCTGATCTCACACAGTCTTTTTATACCTGGCCTTCTTTCTGCTATACCGTCCTCCTTATTCGTTCACTTCATTTATAGCCTGCCTTTCACACTGATAGGAACCCAAAGCTGTTTAAATTGTTCTCCTCTCATCCTTTATCTATCCTCACAACAACAATCCTGTGAGGTAGGTTAGGCTGAGAGTGTGTGACTGGCCCAAGGTCACTCGGCAAGCTTCCTTGGCAGAGTGGAAATCTGAACCTGGGAGAGAACAGCGTGTTGTAGTGGTTAAGTGTGCGGACTCTAATCTGGGAGAACCAGGTTTGATTCCCCACTCGTCCACTTGCACCTGGCTGGATGACTTTGGGCAAGCCGTAGTTCTGATAAGAGCTGTCCTTGAAAAAGAGCAGTTTCTGTCAGAGCTCTCTCAGCCCCACCTACCTCACAGGGTGTCTGTTGTGGGGAGGGGAAGGGGAAGGAGTTTGTCAGCCGCTCTGAGACGCCTTCGGGTAGTGAAGGGCAGGGTATAAATCCAATCTCTTCTTCTTCTTAAGGTCAGTGGACTCTAATCTGGAGAACTGGGTTCGATTCCAGCTGAGTGACCTTGAGTCAGTCACAGCTCTTTCAGAGTTCTCTCAGCCCCCCAAAATAATAAGTCTCGTCCACCGCCTAGTGGTGCATAAAGCTAAAGAGCTAGAACTATAGGCTGCCAGACAAACTTAGGATCTCCCGGCTATACTGCACACAAGGCCATACGATAATTATTTTTTTCTGAAGCTGGGTCTTCCAGATCCTAGTTGGATACTCTGGCTCCTACATCACAATGGCTATCTCAAATACCAAAACTGTTTTTCCTAAGTTGTTTTTTTTTTGGGGGGGGGGTGTCCTCCTTCCCTGCCTCATGTGCCCATCTAATAACAATTGGCCTCCATGTGCTTTTTTTTTTTTTTGCCATCAAGTCATAGCTGACTTGTGGTGACCCTGTAGGGTTTTCAAGGCAAGAGACGTTCAGAGGTGATATCCCATTGCCTGCCCCTGTGTTACGACTCTGGTCTTCCTTGGAGGTCTCCCATCCAAACACTAGCCAGGGTTGATCTTGCTTAGCTTCTGAGATCTGAAGATCGGGTTAGCCTGGGCTGATAGAGGGTTCGAGTTGCTTCATGTATATTGCGATCCTCACAACAGCCCTATAAAGTAGGCCAGCATTTGCCTCTAATAGGCAGCCACTGGGGCACTGAATTTTCCCCATTTTCCTTTCGCGCGGCCCCTTCTGATTCTTGCAAAAATCTTTTTTGGGGGGGGGGGGCTGGAGTGGGGAAGGGACCAAGGGATGAAAGGGGACCACTTTTTCCTGCAAAACTGAGCTTGCAGAAATGGGAAGGAGGAGCAATTTGGGCCCTGTGATCCTGGGAATGGTCTTTC